AATTAAGAAGAAAATTTGAAGGAATTTTCGTTATATCAAAGTCTAAGAGAAATGTTATTAAAATATGGTCCTAATAGTGATAGTATTGAATCCATTCTGCTATTCACCCTTCCAACCTACGAGATTCAAGATAATGATAAGTATTTTAATAGTTTATTCCCTTCCGTTTTTTTAACTTCTTTGTATAAATAGCATTTAGGCATTATTAATCATTTCTCGGCTTTATTTTCTAATTTTAAATTAGTTAATTGTTTTTTATTTAATAATTTTTAATTGGGATAAGATACATAAAATTTAATTTAAATTTAATTATTAAATTTATTGATTTATAAGTATTTAATGATTTATTAATTAAAATTTTTTGTAATACTAAACGATCCAAGAAACATGTTTGCAGATCTTTAAAAGGCTTAAAAGTGGACAAGATTATTTGATAAATATCACAGACAAAAACTTATAAGAATTCGCTAGAGAGAGTAAATTATTATTCTTATGAGCCGTTTCCTTGAATGTTATTTAACCTTTCACGTATCATATTTTTTTCATAATTTAGGTCTTAGAACATTTTGTTTAGGTTATGTTGATATTACTCCTAAGATATATAAAAAATGAGACATCGAGTTTTGTAATGCTTCAACAATACTTACAGACTGTGATCAGAGAGTTGCTGTCATTTTTGACCAGATTGAAAAGGACGGTGCAACTGCAATTGAGGATCGCTTACAAGATGAAGTGCCTAAATATATAGTCACCCTAAAACATGCTGGAATTAAAATTTGGGTCTTGACAGAAGACAAAATGAAAACAGCGATTAGCATTGATTTTTCTACCTGTCTGTTGGCCAGGAATATAAACCTTATTATCATTCGCGGAGATACATACGGAGAAACAGGTAGTGCCTTTGATTAAATACAAAGTGCAATGGAAAGTTCCTTCCTACTGACCAAGAAATTCTGGAAAGTATAAGATCAGTACAGATGCCTCCTGTTACTTCATTTAATAATGCAACCCGACCTTCCTGCTTTGTATCTACAAAGTGAGCAACCATTTCTCCCAATCCATACATCCCAAGGAGTCCCGGCATATCCTACGACCCACAAGAACAACCTTCATCTACCCCTATCACTCCAAGAACTCCTCTGCCACAACAATATTTATCTTCTCCAATTTCACCAAAACATCTTCTTTACATTACCAGGAGCCATATATTATCACAAAAATTTTGATGATTTGCTAGCACTATATTTAAAACAAAGAATTCTCACCCATTAAATAGGCAAGACTCTGTGGGAAGAAAAATGGATGATATGTTGAAGTATTATTACAATAGTAAGACTGAAGATAACCTAAATGACATTGTTAAACCAGCATACCCCACCAAAGCATTTCCTATCAAATCAGATTATGGTTTGTGAACTTTTATTGGTGTTACATTGATAAAGAAAAAAAAATTCATTATTTTTTCAATATTGTCAATTAAAGTTTTTATCCTGGTCATATCAATACAAAGGGTAAAGGGTGTAATAATTTGAAAAACTCTTCTTCTTTAAACACTACAGTGAGTATCTCTGTTCATTTAATTATGTTGTGAATCTAAATAACAATTTCATCACTCACAGCATGTCTTCACACAAAATATCAAAAAGAACCATTAATATCCGACTTATCCTTACAATGATACCTCATCTGCATTTGATGACAAAAATGATAATTATAATTTATACTATCCACACGTTTTCAATGGAAATCAACAATCTCGAGTAGATTACGTTGCATGGGGTTCAGATCATCAAGTACCCATGTCAAAGGAAGAAATAGAAGATATTTTCATTGATTTGGTCAATAAAATTGGTTTTCAAAAAGAGAGCATGCGCAACATATACAATCACCTTATGTGTATGTTAGACTCAAGAGCTTTGTGAATGCCTTTATCTCAGGCTTTGTTAACTCTTCATGCTAATTACATTGGTGGAGAAAATGCTAATTATCAGAAGTGATATTTTGCTACTCATATGAACATGAATGACGATTTGGCTGATGCAAGAAGTGGAAAATATACTCCAGATCTGAAAGAAAATAATCTCAAAAAAAAAATGGAATTAGCGAATTAATAAGATATCACAGTATGATCGCATATGTCAGCTTGCCTTATGGCTCTTGCTGTGGAAAGAAGCTGCACAGATTCACTTCACAAGTGAATACTTGTGCTTTTTATTTAAGCTTGCTGATAATTATGCAAAGAGTCTTGATTGTAAGTCAAAAGTTCAACCCGTTCTTGAAGGAGAATATCTGTGAAGCATTGTGACTCCATTGTATTGTTATATTTGTGATCAGGGATATAAAGTAATCAGAAAAAAATTTGTCAAAAGGGAAAAAGATTATGATGAAATAATAGGTTATAATGATATTAATCAATTGTTTTGGTATCCCGAAAGACTATATTACATACATGGGAAATGAGTTTTGGTGTGTCTTCCGTATATACAGCCGGTGACCGGAATTACACATGTTATGGTATACTCTGATCATACCTCGATCTGAAAGTTTACTTCTAATTAGCATACAAATCAATGTGGAGACCTGTACATATATTACAAAATTCTTTTATTTTTAAAAAGGAAACAGATTAAATGCACAAAATCTATACTATTCATTTGATAGAATAAAAAATTTTATTTTGTATATATGAATATTTATTATCTTTGTTCTACTGTCTTTAATAAAATTTATCATGTAATTACAAATTAAGAGCTAATAAAAATATAATAAATTTTGATTAAAAAAAATAATATTTTCACTAAATGTTTTTTATTCTTGAATATCTCAATGGCAAGAATTAAAATATATCCTCTAATAATTTTATTTTATTCAATTCCGACAATATATACTTGGGAATACAACGATAAGACTTATACTTTCTAGCAGCATATTTTACCAATTTACCAATGTTTCTCTTCCTATACAAATCCATATAACATTATGCTTTTCTAGTAAATCTTCTTATTGTAATTGTATTAACAGATTTCAAGGCTGCAGGAACAATACATTGCAAGCCTGACCAAGAATAATTACAGTTTTCTTGAGCATATCATTTTGCCGTACCCCAGTATTGTTCAATATAATTCAGTTCACAGAGAAACTTTGGGCAAAAAATACATTTATGCCCAGCTTCCAGTATGGTTTTTTCTAATATGCTTTTTTGTAATAAAAAATTCAGTTGTAATGAAATGATTCACCATGCATAACAGTCTGTTCGATTTATATAATCAATCTTATCCTTGCATAACTTACAATCAGCACTTAATTTATTTCTTCACAATCCACATTTAATTAATACTTGTTTTATTCCTTTAGGTTCATTTTTTTCATTGATCATTGATTGATAACAATTATTTGGTTCAAAAATTGTATATATTTCGTATTTTGGTTGCTTGCCTCCAGGTTTTAGATTCATCTGACTTGTCACAAGTGCATCAGATCTGTATACTGCATGATTTGAACTATTATTAAATGCAAACAAAGCAATACAGTTTGAAAATATAGTTTCAAAAATAGATATAGCCTTCATTTTCACTTGTTCAATTAAATCTTCACTTGTCCAGTATCCATCTTTATTTTTTCCCAAATGAAGATAAACTTGAGCTTCTTTAACTATAGTTGGGTTTTCTTGATATTGTTGTGAGTTTAATTTATGTCGATCATATTTTTCTGTTAAAAATTCACTAATCATAATAGAACATCAATTTCCTTTCTTGCATAATGGAACTCTTCAGATTTTGATCATACTCCTCATTTACTATCATTTGAATAGAACATACTTTTATTATGTGTTACAAGAACTATTTCCTTTTCATTTGGTTTTAATATTGGTATTATTCATTTCATATTTTCTCCTTTATACTTAGCTATATATTTTTCATAACTAAATATTGTATCCAGAAATAATTGTCGATACTTTATAATATCAGGACATTTGTGTCCATCATAATATATACATATTTATTATAATATAAAATTAATTAAATAAAATTTTTATTGTTTAATAATGAATTTATTCTATACCTTGCTTTTGTGATTAAAAAAAATATCCAAGTACATTAAGCCAATGTGTCGCAGTTACAATACCAATAGCGTTTTTTTCTGAATTTACAAGAAGCTTTTTTTTAACAAATGCTTTAAATTTTAATGGCATGGTTGTTTCCCCCTGAGATTAAATCCATATATGGCATTTTTCCACAATATTTTCATCATTCACTAATCATATAGTTTTTTGGTGTTTACCTTGATGACTTATTGGTAAATGGTTATATTGAAGCCAATAATTTGCCCAATATCAAATAAATCTTGCTCTATATGATGCACTTTCAATAAAAACCAATTCTGCAGCTTCTATATTGACTTTTTGCTTTCCTTTTCCATTGTTATCCAATCTATTTAAATATTCAAAAACTGCTTTTTTTTTTTTTTTTTTTTTTTTTTTTTTTACTGCGAATAAGTATAAAATGCGAGACTTTATTTACTAATTAATAGTACTGTCATTACATTAAGAATCCTACACCACCTCATTTGGTGGGAGTTAATCTAGCCTATTGCATGTATAACTTTTAATGCTACATTACACTAAGTAAGTGGTGCCATACCAAAAGTGGTCCATGAAT